AAAAAAAAAAAAAGAATATTGAAGGAATTCACATGCGAAATAAGAACCCTATCTCTTGCCAAATTGCCTAGATTTCCCCTCCCACCCCAGTAAGGAAAGCAAATTTTAGAATTGGATATTTTGCCCTTGCTAGATAGCCCCCTCCCTACTGAGAGGCTCTGCAGATGTATTTCCAAAAGAAGATAGAATATAAAAGGCCCGGGGAAGCACCTCCCCCTTTCCCTTTTCGGATCATCAGCCACCATGCCCCTCATGTGTGTGCGATGCAGTCCTCACACCCGCACAGCTGGCATCTCCCTCTTAAGGGCGGGGAAATTGAGACTTGGAAAGATGGAAAACGTTGCCCTTCCTGAAGGACTCGCTGATCTTTTTGCTGCACTACACCACCAGGAGGTTTGAGTAGCTTACCTTTTTTGGATATTATTTCCTTTTTTAAGAAATGCTTTTTCTTTTTTAAGCTAACAGAAATATTGAGCAGAAAGTATAGAGTTCTCAAATACCCTCCTTACCCGTTGAAGTTTTTTCTGTTACTAATACCTTGATTCCTTACTGTGGTACATGTTTCAATTGTTGGACCAATCTGAGTCCAGTCATGCAGCGCTAACTGTCCAAAGAAACGTGTGAAATAGGGCTTTACAGGAAATGTAGTTACCTCAGATCCTTTCCGCAGAACCCAGTTCCCCAATATTTACATGCTTTTTTCTTTTTTAATGATCATGTGATATTTAAGACTTGCTTGCCCATCTCTCCCCCAAGGACATTCTCGCAGTCCATGTGACAGCACTGAATTACTCGTTTCACCCTGTGGGACCTTAACAGTGCCTCGACTTAATGTTTAAACCCATTACCGATGGAGTCATGCTGTACTTTACTTACTTTTACAATAATAATTTCACCGTCATGTTTACCCTGACATATGCCACTAGAAAAAATGTGAATCTGGAAGAGAGTAAAACCAAAACATTCTAAAGTCTACCTCTTGTATGTTATCATTAGTAAAACCAATCATTCTATTAATGATTTATATATTTTTTAATTCCTTTATGCTTATCAAGGTCATAGACGCACATAGTTTCAAGGGGAAAGCATGGTACTTGTTATAAAACACTCTCCCTTTTCCCTCTTCTCAGAAGTAGCCTCATCCCTTTCTTCCTTAGTGACTTTCTGGGTAGATGTGTCATTTGTAAACGGTGTGCTGCTTGTAGACTTTTTCTTCCATTTTCACAATTGTTTATTGCTTCCACACTGTTCAGGATGATAATATAGCTCACTTTCTTTCAATAACGACTTTTTGCTGTAAATTAAGTGGGGAGGGAGTTTACATTTCAGATCATCGACTTTGTATTCAATCGTTTGAACCACAAATCAACACCCTGCCCCTCCCAATAGTAGGTTCCCCTGCTCCTCGTTTTCTCTTCTCTCTCTTGTGGACGACTATCTCCCTCCCATTTCACCCAAGGTACACCCCCTCAATAGTCTAATCCATTGCTTTAACTTCCTCCCCTCACTCTCTCAGATATGTTCCCACCAGCACCCAAAACCAGATACTTCCTGCCCCTACTCTTTCAACATAGTATCGCCTGGTAACTAGCTCGTTCACGGTATTGACATGATTCTGGCTGTACACATCCCACTGAGGGCCGGGTCCTCCGTGTAGAAGCAGATGTGTATCACGTACTGATTTCTTTCCTCTCCTTAGAAATGTGCGTGCTTTCCGTGCAGTTGCTCATTATTTTGTGGTTTGCTTAGTTTTCTGAGTACTTTCCCCCAATTTATCCTTTTCTCTAAGGAACTAACTTTTCTAGCTCGGTTGTGTAAATTTTCACTCAGTTTAGTCACACACAGGACATATGCCGTTAACTTTTTGGGGAGGGGGAGAGTCTCTTCTGGGTTTCTCGTGCGTTGGCTGCTCTTTTGTCGGGTGCTAAGTCCAGGAGCAGCCAGTCCAAGAGGAGATCTTCCTCTTCCTCCCGAGCTCCTCGGGGATCCTTGGATCCTGCATCCTCCGGGATCTTCTGTCCTGGATCCTGCATCTTGCCCTTTCTTGGTTCTCTTCCTGGTTCTGCTAACGCTCATGACCCCACCGTTTCCTGTGGAAGGGCGTGTGTGAGGGCAATTCTCCAAGCTCTTTTGTATCTGAAATCATCTTTATTCTGCCTCCATACTGGTAGTTTACCTGGGAACAGAACATGCAGATATCTTTATTATCTTTTAGTTTCGGTGTTTTTGAGAAGTAAACATTCTGAAAACATGATTTATTTTTTTAATGTTTTGGGAGCTTTGAGGACCGATCCTCTCAGCTTCTCTCCAAAAATGTTCAGCGGTGTGCTTTGACTCTAAGAATGTTGTGCTTCAGTTCTGAGAAATGTTCTTGAATGATTTTCTCTACATATCTGCAAATACGCCCCCCACCCCCACACCACCATTTCTCTTTCAGATGTACATCTTCAACTGGTCCACTACTTTTCTTGTCTGTTTGCTTGTTTTTTGTTTTCTATTTGCCATTTCTTTATCTTTTGCTCTACTTTCTGGGAGAGCTTAACGTCCAATCCTACTGCGTTTTTTCTTTTACCTACTTGGGTAAAACAGCAGTGGAGGTGGACTTTCTTGACCTCCTCTGGCTTCCCTATTGCCACGAGGCTGGAGTCAGACACACCTCGTACTCTGTCCTTCTCACACCAGCCCTTCCTCCCATGGCACTCTTTCTTTGCTTTAATCTTTCAACGATTAGTTGCAAGGACCCCACAGAACTCACAGACAGGATTCACAACGAAGGGGCTCACTAGGGAAGTTAATGGGTTATCACAAGTCCGGGTCAGCACAAGGAAGATCCATCATTGGTCCACAGCAGCACTGCTCCTCGGCCAGCAGCCAGGTCTCTCTCCAGGGCCAGGGCCTCAGTCTCTCAGCACGTGGTGTCGTGGTCTTTGCCTCCATTGACTGAAAAGCCAGCTCACCTGTGACTCTGTCTCACAGTTCCTTAGTCTCAGGCCAGATGAGGGGAAGGTGCCCCATAGTCTCTGTGCTCCTCCTCTGAGCCTCTGTGCCAGTGTCTCGTGCATCTGGGTGTGTGCATATCAGCACGTGCTGTTGTCCTAATTTTTATGGGTTACAGCCCAAGTAGTGCAATGGTGAGGTCATATGTTAGCCACTTTTCACCCAGTGGTTTCCTGATAGTCCGCTAACTATGTGGACTCATTCCGTCTCTCTGGCTTGAAGTTTTTTGAAGGGAAGGAGCTAAGACTGAAGCAAGAGTACTTTGTGGTGGCTGCTACCTTGCAAGATGTTATCCGCCGTTTCAAGGCCTCCAAGTTTGGCTCCACTGATGGTGCCCAGACTGCTTTTGATGCGTTCCCAGAGCAGGCAAGTATGAGTCTTCAGATTTTATTACGTGCAGGGAGAATGAACAGAGGAATGTGTAAGGGACTGGATCCTAAGGATTCTAAGGGAGGACTGGAAACACACGGAGCAGGATAGATCCACTCATACGAGGGTATATACGAGAGATCTGGTGTTTGAAATGCTAGCCTGATCATCTGGGAGCAGTCTTCTCTTTTCAGTTGAAGGGTCCCCATTTATTGTGACGTAGCTCTACGCTTGGAGCTGAAAAGGGCATCCTGGATGGGACTGTCCCATGTCCACATGTAGTAGTGAGCCGCCCACTGAGCGCCCCTGGGGCATGGCGTGAATGTGTTACTCTCGGAAGCTCCGGGCTTCTTCCTCCCTCCCGCAGAACATCTTGTTTTCTGATCACCGAGTTTCCACCTCTGTGGTCAGAGAGGGGGAAATGACAGGGAGGAGTAATGGTGTGGGGAGGAGGAAGGTGCTCCAACTTGGCAGTGTCAATATCAGGCAAGTATCCAGTCTGTGAACGTGGGTGGATGTCTGAAGAGTGGGTTTCCTAGCAGGTTATTTCTCCTATTCAGTAGGAATGTTATAAAGCATTTTGTAGAAGGGTGGGCATTTTGGTTGATGCTTTAGGCCTGGGAGCCGTGTCCTGGGCCATCCTCACCTGTGTGCTGATTTGTCCTCCCACCCAGGTGGCCATCCAGCTGAATGACACTCACCCAGCTCTCGCCATCCCCGAGCTCATGAGGATTTTTGTGGATATCGAGAAATTGCCCTGGTCTAAGGTTTGCACCCCTGGGCTGCCTTGCTTTCGTGGCTCAGACTATCCATGGATGCGAGGTTTTACCCAAAGCTCCCTTTCAAGGTTCTCAAAGTAATCGACTGTTGCTAATGTCTAGCCGTTGTAGATTTACTTAAAGATAGATTTTCCTCTGAGGCTGACATTTTCTGTTTCCTAGCACTTTGCAAGGATTACTGGTGGCATTGTGGGTGGCGTATGCATCGGGCTGCGACCCGTCAGGTCAGCAGTTCGCTAGCCCCAACTGCTCCTTAGAAGAAAGATGAGGGTTTCTGTTCCCATAAAGATGTGCAGCCTCGGAAATGCACAGGGGCAGTTCCCTTGTCCAATAGGATTGCTGTGATAGCAGTGAGAGTGCTTTACCAAAAGCAGTCCTGGTGGTGCAGGGGTAAAAGTGCTTGGCAGTGAACCAAAAGGTCACCAGTTCAAAACTCAGAAGATATTGTCTGTCCTCCTGTAGAGATGACAGCGTGGAACACCCTGTGGGGCAGTTCTCTGTAGGGTCGCTGTCTGTCGGAATCAACACATAGCAACAGTGATCTACAAGGGACAGGATTAAAAACTGAAGCTGTCCCCATTTTTGTATCTGAAAGGACCTGACTTTAATGTTCCTCATCTCAGAGTGCTGCTCCTTCAGAGCATTTTCACTTTACGAAAGCGAGTCCTGAGACAGCTCTTCGTCCCTTCTCAGGAGGGTACAGGGTTTCTTCCTCAAACGTTGTGTATTCAGTACATGAAAGACGAGGTAGAACGGTAGAAAAGATTCATCACGTGCATCCTTACACTCTGTCAGAGAGTTTACAAGCAGGTTTTGTTTTAGGTGTGGGGCCTAAACTTGTTCCCACCGTCTGGACCATTCCAGGACCCAGTGAACTCTGGTGCATTTCAACATGCACACACACGCACGCGCACACACACGGCTGTTACAGTGGTTGTGACATGTCTGACCCTCTATGGGGGCGGGACAGGGGGGGTGGGGTGCAGGTGCCTGCAGGGTGGCTTTTCTTGCAGAGGGAAGCATGTAACCACCCCGCTTTCTCCCAGGCCTGGGAAATTAGCAAGAAGACCTTCGCATACACCAACCACACGGTACTCCCCGAGGCCCTGGAGCGCTGGCCAGTGGAGCTGGTGGAGAAGTTGCTTCCTCGACACTTGCAAATCATCTACGAGATCAATCAGAAGCATTTAGACGTAAGTCATTCGAGAGATGCCGCCTGCCTCTCTCCCCAAGCCCTGAGGCCCGAACATCTTACATGGTCAACCAAAGGTCCCCTAGTCTGAATTGAGCTCCTTTTAAACAAATAAACACCGTGTGGAAGGTGGTCAAGGGATGGAGGTAATCTCCCTAGGGCTGAACTGACCCTTCTCTGTGGGAGTGAAGCTTTACAGTCACCACCGCAAAGACTTTACATGGGAGGCGGACGGTGCTAGCACACTGTTCTGTTGAGCCTGATTGACCCACAGGGCCTCTCTCTTCCTTTGGCTAGAGAATCGCGGCCTTGTTTCCTCAAGACGTCGATCGTCTGAGGAGGATGTCTCTGATAGAAGAGGAAGGCTGCAAGAGGATCAACATGGCCCATCTCTGCATTGTGGGCTGCCATGCAGTGAACGGCGTGGCAAAAATCCACTCGGACATCGTGAAGACCACAGTGTGAGCGAGCGAGCGAGCGAGGGCACTAGGAACGGTGTGGGTCTCCTGGCTGAGGGGCCCTGGCAGAAAGGTTCAGAAGTGTTAGTCGATACAAAGACCCCTTCCCTCGGTTGGGGTGCCTGGGAGAGCCTTCTTCTCTGAGTAGGCGGGCTTGCCTCTAGACTCACAGGTCCAAAATTCTGCTCTGAAAAATCGGGACCCTGTGTCAGTGCCTAGAGGTCAGATGGGGCGGGGGGTGGGGGGTGGGGGTGTGTGTGTGTCATATGACATCTTTTTCTCGTGATGACTCTGTAGGATTGCCAGTGAGCTTTTATTTAAAATGACGATCAAAGCCATTGTCAGCGTGCCCTTGCATCGCATCTGCTGAAGCCCACACCGACGGTCTCAGCTGTGGCCCTCCGCGCCATCCGGCATGGAGGAGCCGGCAACTCCAGCCCCGTCTGTGACGTGACGTGTCTCCTCCCTCTGCAGGTTCAAGGACTTCAGTGAACTGGAACCGGATAAGTTTCAGAATAAAACCAACGGGATCACTCCACGCCGCTGGCTCTTGCTGTGCAACCCGGGGCTTGCAGAGTTAATAGCAGAGGTGACTGGGCAGGGGGGCAAGTGCAGTGGGCCGCATGTGACCTCTGCAGACACAGAGCCCCTCACACTTCGTTTAAAGCTCGACTGCTACCATTTGCACGAGCCTTGGTGACGCAGTGGGTTAGGCATCGGGGCTGGCAACTTCAGAGGTGGCAAATAAAACACACCCAACCCACCAGCTGTCCTGCAGGAGAAAGATGAGGCTGCCTGTCTGCGCCCATAAAGATATGTGGTTTCAGAAACCCTACCCCCGGTCCCGCTGTGTGGGAATCCACGCACGGGCAGTGGGGGTGGGTCTGGGTTTGGTCACCATGCTGAAGTTCTTAGCTGTTGAGCGAGGAGCCCTGGGGTTTTCATTTTGCACATTCCACCCCGGACCCTGGCTAACAGTACACAGATGGCACGGCATGGGAGGTGAGGTTCATCTTTGGGAAAATGCGGTCAAAGGACTCCAAAAATCCCAGTAGAGCCCAGGGCCGTGGACCCCCTGTTGAGTGGTGTCCCCCGTGTTAACCCTTGCCACCCAGAATTCCACCAGCCTCTCCGATGGCCTCGTGAAGCCATCGAGGGTGTTGCAAACTACATGGACTGCGTCACTGTAGTCACTCTTACATTTCTTTCTGTACCATAATAAAGCCAGGGTTTTATGGGATTAAAACCTCCTCTTCTTTTCCCTTTAAAGAAAATTGGGGAAGACTATGTGAAAGACCTGGGCCAGCTGACAAAGCTGCACAGCTTTGTGAGCGATGACATCTTCCTCCGGGAGCTAAGCAAAGTGAAGCAGGTGAGGCTCTGCCGGCGGGGACCCCTCTGGGCACTTGTTTGTCCTCCCATTTCTAAAAGACCCCGCCGCCCAGGGCATCCGAGTCTAAGGAACTCTGGCACTGCGCTGTCTCAACAGGAGAACAAGCTGAAATTTTCTCAGTACCTGGAGAAGGAATACAAAGTAAAGATCAACCCCTCGTCCATGTTTGACGTGCAGGTGAAGAGGATCCACGAGTACAAGCGGCAGCTCCTGAACTGCCTGCACGTCATCACGATGTATAACCGTGAGTCAGCCCGCGCTACCACCAAGGCTGGGTGCCTGTCCCTTGAAGGTGGCCGCAGCAGCCTCACGGAAGGGGTCCCATTCCAGCCATCAACTGTCCGCGTGCTTCTCTCTTTCAGGCATCAAGAAAGACCCCAAGAAGTTCTTTGTGCCCAGGACAGTTATAATTGGTGGCAAAGTAAGTTGGTCCTATTAAGTGGGGGGCCTGGGGGGTTGATGGCTCTAGTCTCGGGACCTTTCTCCATTTCATCATGATGCGCTCTGTCCATGTGTGACGTCTTCCCCAAGGCTGCCCCAGGATACCACATGGCCAAAATGATCATCAAGCTGATCACCTCCGTAGCAGACGTGGTAAATAATGACCCCATGGTTGGGAGCAAGTTGAAACTCATCTTCTTGGAGAACTACAGAGTGTCTCTTGCGGAAAAAGGTATCGTCTTCTTTGCAGAATGTGAAGTTGGGTGGGGGGGTGCGGGCACAAGGGTGGAGACAAATTCTAGGGAAGGCTTATATTGACATAGAAATTGAAGTGCTTGACCTAGAGGGGAGAGTGATTTAGGGTAGAAATTCACTCTGGGAGAGAAGGTGGGTCTAAACCGAGAGCTTTTTAAGGTGATTCACCTGACAGCTAGCCTAATATCACCGCAGTCCCCAATCACAGGGCTGTATTTGCAAGGGCAGGTTTCCTACACCAGCTAGGAAGAGCTGAGTGCTGGGGGCAGTGGGTAGCCTTCAGGTTTGAGTGTAGTGCAAGATGTCCTTTACCCGAGAGAGGAAGGTCTTCACTTCCTAGCTCCAGTTTTGCAACAGAACTTCAATTCCTTGTCCCCAGATCGTCCTCTGACCAATGTGCAGAAGGCCTGGCTCATTTGTCCATGTAACAACAGGGATTAAGGACAGATGTCAGGCTGCCAAGTCACGAGGCTTAGACGTGGCTCAGATGGGCATGGGATAGCCAGACTGGCAAGACACCAACATCCCTCTCTCTGCTGCTAGAACCTTTGCTTCTTTGCATCACATGTGCCCCAAGCACCTCCCACATGCAAATACCAACTGTGTATTCGCCCACTTTCCACAGCGAAAAGAGCAAAGAACCTTCTCTTTTTGTGGAGCTTTTGGGTCTTCTGATGTTACTGCCCACATTCCCCAGAGAGAGCAAAGAGCCAGGCCTTTGGGGGTCCAAATGAAGATCCGTATTATCCACAAATAGACTGTCAAAGTCAAGCAGAGAACTGGCCCTGCCCTGTGTAGTCAGTTGAGGCTTCCGACAGCACCAGTGTGGGCATAGATCGGGCTGAAAGGTCAGCGGCAGGTGTGCAGTCTCGGACACCGCACTGAATGGGGCTTATTTCCCTGCAGAGAAAGTAAAGGGAGGAGAAATGGAAGAGACGCAGGCAGTTACTTTTCCTCAGACCGCATAGTCGGCAGCCGGAGAAAGACTGAATTGTAGGGAGGCTTGGAGAGGTTTTGTGATGTAATAAGAGAGAGAAATTTTTTTAAATTATAGCAAAAGAAATTAGTATGAAAGGGAGAAACGTGGCCTCACCGGTTTTATAACAGAGTCAATAGATGCTCTGTAATGCTGGTAGACCGAGAAAGAGTGGGGTGAGCCTGCCATGATTTGTCGGTTTGGAGATAACCACCAAGGAGGACCATTTTGAAAATGGGCAAAAGTAGTTGCCTGAGTCCAGGAGAGTCAGATTTGCCCTCCTCGCCCACTTGCCGGTTACCTTAGATAAATGGTCGGCCGCGGTACAAGCAAACCGGCGGAACAGCAGCACTGACGTGAACATGCCTCGCTTGCTTGCAGTTATCCCAGCCACCGATTTGTCGGAGCAGATTTCCACTGCAGGGACCGAGGCCTCGGGGACGGGCAATATGAAGTTCATGCTGAATGGGGCCCTGACCATTGGGACCATGGATGGGGCCAATGTAGAGATGGCAGAGGAAGCCGGAGAAGAAAACCTATTCATCTTTGGCATGAGAGTCGACGATGTCGCTGCGTTGGACAAGAAAGGGTGAGCAAGGGTCTGCTCTTGATTGGACAGGCGCTGACCTCCGGGGGGTCTGTGAGCTCAGAGGACCTCCTCACCACCAGGGACCCCACAGAGGCCAGGTCTTGAGAGACAAAGCAACAGAGTGTCTCCAGGGAGCCTGCGGGTGACCCCTTAGTCTTCTGAAACCTAGCGAGTGCAAATAAAAGGGGCGCTGGGACAAGGAGCTAGTTAGTTGATGTCAGCCATTGCAAAGCCTGCCTTAATAAGCTCCTCGCTTCTCTGTAGCTGTGATTTTTATGTTGATCAAAAGTTGAACCACATTCTAGTTGGAGCTTTTGCTCATCATTCAAACGACTATCCAGTGTTCAAGATCTCAAACCTGTGGGTAGAGGACACTTGGGCATAGTCATTTCCCTGGACATTGAGATAGGGTTCCTAACCTGGGTTCAAATAAGAAGTAAAGAGCCCTGCCTGGAGGAGCGACGGGGAGCACCACCACCGCGTTTGGAGGGTGCTGAGTCTACGTCTTGATCCTTGGAAGTAAATCTTCACTCAGTAGCAAAACCAATTTTGGGAATTTGTAGGTCCCTTAATACAATGGCTGTTTCAAGCCAAGCTGACTCTGCCTTGAAATGGATATTGCCGGAGTCCAATAGCTTAGACGAGTGCTCTGTGGCTAGAATCTCCACAACCTGCTCTTCTTAATGCCCTCAGTTGTAAAGACACCATTGGATTTCCGAGGCAAAATTGAAAGTTCAGGATCTAGCCCCAAATTATTTGCACCCATGTTGTCTACAACGCCTTCTCTAAGTTATAATATTTCTGGAAGTAAGACATTTGCATAGCTAATGTAGTGCCTGGCGTTAATCATGCACACTAAGAGGACCTTTTTTCACATTGCACCCTTCCAAAGGTATGTGGCAAAAGAATATTACGAGGCACTTCCAGAGCTGAAGCTGGTCATTGATCAAATTGACAATGGCTTCTTTTCGCCCAAGCAGCCCAGCCTCTTCAAAGACATAGTCAACATGCTCTTTCATCACGACAGGTGAGTTCTTGCAAGGTGGCAGGGCTCGTGGGGCCTGAACAGGGGGAAGGACCATCTTAAGTCAACGACAGCCCATCCCTGGAGATCAGGATAGACCTATGAGCTGGGAGAACCAGGTTAGAAAGAAAATGTAGCTATTCTCTACTAACAATGCCAGTGAGGTTTAAAAAATAAAGCCCCCAAATATAGCATTCTTTTTCTCCTTCCCCTGGTGTGCCCAGCTTTCGAATGCATCCGGATCATGGTGTTCACCTGCCTTAATTGGAAATAACCACAATTTAAAATTCATATGGTAGTAAGTGTGGTACATCAGCCATGTCTGACATTAAAGAAAAGGAGATTACAAATGACATCTTAATGTGCTTTTGTTCATGCAATTTTTTTCTCCCCTTCCAATCTCACAAACAAAACAAGGTTTAAGGTGTTTGCAGACTACGAAGCCTATGTCAAGTGTCAAGAAAAAGTCAGCCAGCTGTACATGGTGAGTAAACCACCACGGTTTATAAAGGAACCAATTCACTGTGAGTCAATAAAGCCCGCCTTTCTGTTCAGTCATTACAATCATTTCAATAGCAAATAAAAAAAACGTATCTGTCAGACTGAAACTGGACTTTCCCCAAGTACAGGCACAGGTGGGTAGTAGCATTTCACTAACAGTTGTTTTGATTTTTAAAGGCCAAGCAAAAAAGACCATAAATAATTCAATATTTATTGTACACCTACCATATCTCCAGGCATGTCCCGAATGCTAAGGACATGAAGCCTTCCTTGATTTTAAATACTCATTCTATGTGCTCACTTAGCACAGAGGCACTGGGAGCCTTCTTGATGCCGGGCACTGACCTGGGCCTGCAGAGTAGAGTACCCCCAAGAGCCCGGAGACACCTGTCAGAACCTGGAGGGAGTGATCTGGTCTGGTGGCAGTTAGCATCTGGAGGTGCAGGGCAGAATCACAGAGGCAGCTTTTTCAAAGTGCGGGTGTCAGGTCATCCCTGAAAAATCCTGACCTTGAAACAGGGGGATCTCCGCCTTTATCTGAGAAACTTGCCAAGAGCATACCTAGACAGGGTACTGAGTGAAGGACTTGGCCCGCAGAATCAGTACTTCTCCCAGTGTAGCCACGACGTTTAGGAGACCTAGTGGCATGGTGGTTATTTATTGGGCTGGGACCCACAAGGTCAGCAGTTTGAAACTATCAGCCGCAGCTCGGGACAAAGATGGGCTTTCTACTCCTGTAGAGAGTTACGGTCGCAGAAACTCACAAGGGCCGCTCTGTGCTCTCCAATGGGGTCACTGTGAGTCGGCACCACCCAAGGACAGAGAGTTAGTTTAATTATATCCACAAGTTAGGGTGATAGGAATAAAATATAGAAATGCACAGAATGAGGGGGGGTTAAAATGAAAAAGAAGAGATAGCAGCTCAGACAAATCATGCTATCCCTCCCTAACAAAGACCCCAGGACCCAAGTGAAGTAAATACAGATGACAGTCCTGGAACTGAGCGTTAGTGGAAGACCAAGAACTAGATCCAGCAGCAATGAGAAACAGCTGAATGACAGCCCTGAAGGAGAAGGTCCCAATTGCTGGCTGCAGCCACTGGGACGCCCAGGGACCCAAGCACGTTTCCCTGCTTTCCTAATGATTAGTAATACGAGGCCCCGCCTGCCCCACCCAGTCTGCCACGCCTGCCACTCTTCCACCCTTACTGCCGCTACCACCCAACACTGGAAAAACAACAAGAGTACTGCTGTGCCTCCAGCCAACATCCCCCCCCTCCTTCCCGCCCACCCAGTAAATGACAGCGGGCACCCTAGCTCCCCTGGGGCACTCAGCACCCCTAGCCGCCCACCCCCTGGCAAGCACCAGGACACTTAGCTGTCAGCTGCCCCCCACGCCCGGTAGTATGCAGTGCTGCTCTCTGCCAGCACTGCCCCACTCACCCAGCAACAGAGAAGTGCTGACCACAGTCAGCAGAGCACAGCGACCCCGCCCAGCCGCTTATCTCGAAACCAGAAGGAGGGAAAAAGGGAAAACACAAAAATAAACAAAAGAACACCCTAAGAGCTTGGAGACAGCAGATAGGTGACTAAAACAGGATAAGGTAGCTCATGGAAGTTGATGCCAACGCAGCCTACATCTTCACAGGAGCAGACTGCCACACCTCCCCCACCTGGAGCAGCGCTGGGTTCGAACCGTCCACCTTGTGCCTAGCAGCCCTGTGTTTAACTCACTGTACCACCAGGGCTCCTTACACAAAACAAAGGGAAAGAAAATCTTCCATGGGAAGAAATGATAATGGAACTACTTGAGAATTCAAGAGTTCTCTATAAGATCCTCAAGGAGATCAAAGACAACACAGGAGAATGACAATACATATGAATGAATTATATCCGCCAATAGACAGTGGAAGGATGGCCACAAACACATGACTACTCAGTGTGTGCGGGATTTGGGGTGTGGCGGTGGCTTGGACTTTGGGCTGCCAGCCACTTCTAACCTGCTTATTTGTAGGGAGTGGTCTCCAGGGGCATTCGTTGGCGCTAAAGCTTTGGCCTGTGGTGGCCCCATTCCAAATGAGCTACATGGCGTTTCCCTTGCCTCAGGTTGTCTGCCTGAACTGTCCAAGAATCTTGTCCAGAGAAAGGATCAGGGAAATCAACCCCAAAGCTAACCCACAGGGTCGACTCCATTGGTAGCAGCATTGATAACCCGTCTGAAATATAACCCATGCAAAATCGTCTGCCACCTGAAGGGTTCGCTTCAGCGAGGCTGTCACAATGAGCAGATCAGATGCTGATAACAGAGGCCAAGTACATGTAATCTACGCAAGATACAGGAAACGGAATTTCCTAGGCGCTTGGTTGGTTTTCAACTTCATAGCACTGCTTCCAACACCTTTGAACTGGGGCCATTGAACCAGCCCTGTCCCTGGTGGGGCGGTGGTAACGCGCTGGCCTGCTAACGGCAAGGTCAGCAGTTTGAAACCACCAGCACTCCTCAGGAGAAAGGCAGGGCTTTCTACCCCCATTCACAGTTCTGCTCTACGACTATACGCACCGCCATGGGGTCAGTGCTGACTCCAGCGGCCCCCTGCGGTGTTACAGGCTCAGAAACCCCACAGGGCCAGTTCTCCCGTCCTACAGGGTCACTGTGAGTCTGAATGGACTCAGTAGCCGTGAGTTAACTCAATATGTTGCCTACAAGAGACACACATTAGACACAAAGACATAAACAAATGAAAAACCGGAGCATGGAAGGAAATATGCACCCAAGCAAAGAGTGTGCAGCAGAAAACAGGGAGGGCAAGAGTGACACCCGATAAAATAGAGCCGTGCCGCGGTGAGCCCTCATCTTTTGACAGAGTCGTAGCCAGTGGCCCAACAGCACAGCATGTGGACCAGAGTAAGTTCAAGTTCATGGCCACGAGTAGAGTGGGGCGTGACCACACCTCCATGGTGACCCCACAAAACAGCCACAAGGAACTCGGACAGTAAAGGGAATGAGGCCTTTCCCTCTGGCCTCACACGATGCCTTGTAAGGAGAAAGGCGACCAAACCAGGCTTTGTACTTCCTCTGCACAGCGGCCCTGCAGGGCAGAGTGCACCCGCCCCCTCAGCAGGGCACAGCGCCACAGCTTTCTCCGGGGAGCAGCTGACGGGTTCAAACCCCCGACCTTCTGGTTGCCTGCCAAGGACTCAATCCACGGTGCTGCCAGGGCTCAGAGGAAAAGAAATACAGATACAAGCCCACTCCGGGTTGTGCGGCACCCCTGTGCCTGACATTCTGCAGCAGTGTCACTGCAGTTTGACTGTGCTCCGCAGGTGAACGCTCTGGAGCCCGGCACCCGGCAGACAGTAAATAGCAATCCCTTCCTCTTCTGGGTGAGCTCTACCCCGTGGCTTATAATAAAGGAGAAGAAATGCGAAACATTATAATCATAGCAGGAATGACCAACCAAGAACTCATATCTGCACTCTCTTAAACTGCAAAAGTCTGTCCCTCTGTTCTGAAGAGAGACCCAAAGCCCAAACTCACTGCCCTTGAGCCAGTGAGCTGCCCCGCTGTGTGGGCTTCCGAGACTGAATGTTCCCGGAGGGGGAAAAAAGCCCAGTCTTTCTCCCAGGAAGCTGCTGGGGATTTTGAACTACTGACCTTGGAGATCGCAGCCCCTACACATAACCCCTACACCACCGGGGCTCCTCTGTCTGCGGAGAGGAACTCTAACTCTGAGTCTGCCACGGTGTAGCTCTCCATGATGTAACAAGTGGAGTTAGGATTCACGGCCACTTTCCCCGTGAACTGTGTCCAGGCCAATGTGTGTCCCAAAGCTCCCTTGGGCAGTCGGGCCATGGTGCTAACGGATGCGGGTGTGTTGTTTGCAGAATCCGAAGGCCTGGAACACGATGGTGCTCAAAAACATAGCTGCCTCGGGGAAATTCTCCAGTGACCGAACAATTAAGGAATATGCCAAGGACATCTGGAACATGGAGCCTTCGGACGTGAAGATTTCCCTGTCGAACGTGTCTAGCGACGGGGTGAACAAAGCCAACGGGAACTGAGCTGTAAGATGTTTTGGGGGGACAGGGTGGGTGGGGACAGCTTGGTACTGAACTGGGCCTTTTATTTTAACATTCCTTGATTGTATTTTGTTTGCTACTAGTCTAGTTAAGCATCTTTGAGAATGAGGAGGGAAGGGGTCTTGCTTTAGTGTGGCTTTTTTTTAAAAAAAGGTCCATTTCAAGGGCTGCTTGAGGGCCAAAACTTGAGATTTTTAAGGAGATTAGGCAGCATGTTGCTACCTTCCCTGGAGTTTGTCAGATAGCTAGAAAATTGCGTGGAACATTTTAATGTCATTTTAATGTCATTGAAAGTAACTAAGTAAAATGCAAATGACCTACATACACTGGAGCCTCTTTCTTATCCTTTTCTGTCTGCGTCTGTGTCCGAGACCGCCTCATGCACAAAGATCCCTAGAATGTTCTGCCAAGTACTTATCTATAACTAGGTTCTGAACTTCACAGCAAGTCCTGATTTTCCACAGGAAAGTTGCAGCAGCGAGTGTCACAAAGTGGACTCTGGTAGGCTAAATATGTCATATGCATGCTTGTCCCTTATTAAAATGGTAAGTGACATGGTGGGAATGTCAACTTCATCCAAGCCACCCAGTAAAAAGTTGCATCAACAGATGTACATCACCGGTGGCCTTTAGGCCCAAGTCTTCGTTGAAGATTGCTGTTGTTCTTGGACCATCGCCTCAGGCCCACTGCTTGCTCAGGAAATCCCTGCAGAAAAAAGGACCGAGATCAAGACACATGCCTCCCCCCGGCCCCCACCTATCTGCTAAACCAGTCCAAACGGCCCGACTGCCTTAATCAAAGGGAAAGCAAAACAGCGCTCACCTCACAGTTATCAGTAGTGTGGGGCTCTTACAAAGCAAGTTGTGCTTGTAACCGGGAGGGAAGATCACCATCTTGACCCTCTCTTTATCTCTGTATGCATTGTATGCCATTTCGTAGAGCTGCAAGGGCCAGACAGAGCGTCAGAGGTTTTCCAAATCCAAGTCATGGCTTCTCTCTAGTTCAGCTGTCCTAAAAGGCTGCAGGGACAGCCCACTGGAGGAGTCAGCCGTCATAAGTCAGCGAGAGGGACTCTCCACCCCTTTAGTTAGCTGGCTATTTTGCTGAGCAATGGAATGCACACAGCTAATGGAGAACCCGAGAAACCCTCATTCCCCTACCCCTGTCTATCTGCTACATGGACGCACTGGTTCTCACTGGTTCTGACTAACCCCAACCCTATAGAACTCCCCGCAGTTTTCCAAGACTGTAAATCTACAGGAGTAGAAAAGCTCTTTCTCCTGTAAAGTAGCTGGTAGTTTCGAACTGTTAACCTTGACATTAGCAGCATGATGTGGAACTCAGTAGGCTGCCGGAGCTCCCTGAGGAGGAAAATGCAGACAGGGAAAGACTTGCAGCCCAGAATTCTTCCTGAAGGTGACACCTGTGCTTAATGATTTCAGAGTGCCCCTCTTGGCCTACCTGCCAGGGGACTAGAATTTCTGTTGACCCTAACTAGTAGAGGTTTGTTATTTTTTGTTTTGTTTTTTAAAAAACTTCATTTTCATGTTTAGAATATGAGTCAGAATTGACTTGACAACAGTGTTTTGTTTTCGTTGTACAAGAGACTCCCTGAAGGTTCCCATTGCAGCCTAAAACTTTCTGCATACTTGCAAACCCACAGAACCACAATAAGGAACCAGCCTCTCCCCCACAAACACTCCACTCAGCTGAGTCCCATCGGAGGCTGACGCTCCTTGTACACCCCCCCCCCCCCCCCTCCAGCAGGGCAGCAGGGCCATTGAGGAGTTTGGTGGATGAGCCAGGTGAAGTGGGTATATTATGTTTCAGTCAGCACCGAGCTCTTAGTTTACCTTTTTTGCACATTCCAAAGGCACGATCTTGTCGTCCTCTCCTTGTAGGATGAGAAGGGGAGAAGACAGGCACTTCACACTAGGGATAAGTGGATGAAAAGTGTTGGGTTTAACAGTGAATTTGCATTGGGATTCCTCCTCTGCTAAGTCGGCACTTTAGCAGCACCTGCGATTTGCCCAAAACACATGATCTCCCTTTGTTTCCTTCCCAGGATAAGAGCACTGTCGGGTTTCAGGGAGTTCCTCCTTCCCCAGGCCAGGTCCCCCCTCCTCCTGACTTAGAACTTAGTCCTGTTTTAATGTGGTTTTGAAAATACTGAGGAAGGAAATCACTGAAATACTGAATTGACACAGTATTAGAGGAACCGCTCCTCTTCTGCAGTTTAACCAAATGTCTATAAAAGAAAACACAAACTCTCAACCCCCCAAATAGGCAAGAACTACCATTGATGTGAGACCTCTTTGTAGTGACTTGTTTCCTCCCCACCCCCACCCCCATACACAACATAAAGTGGGCATATAATTAACAGATTTAATTCGATTCCTGGTCAGTCTTCTAGTTTGATCTTTCAAAATGGCTATGGTAGGATGACTTGTTCTCTACTCAAAAACTTTCTAAGATAATACCCCCCAAATTCTGATACCCACCCACCTCATCACAGTGTACTGTTGTAAGACTGTTAGCTCCCTCAAGTATGTTGAAATAGAAAAGGGCAATGCAGACTCCAGACTATCTAATACATAAATACTCAATAGACACTCCCTAGGTGAAGCGTTCTTACATTCTCTAACTGCCAGAGGCAAACCTGCCCGGTTCTAATCCCTGCCCCTGCTGTTGGGTTAGTGGGCTGACTGCTCCGTGGGGGAATGCTCACGGCCACGGAGTCCATTCAGCGAGGCCCAGTTAGACTTGAGAAGGCTAAACACTTGCAATCGAAAATTGTCCTTGTGTTTTCAGGTAAAGGATTGAATTGGTGAACTCATGGCATTAGGAAGGAAATGGAAAAATCTGAAAATTCACAAACCCTTTACTCCAATCCCTATTCAGACTTTTCCTCACCCCATCCAGCAACTCACTGTCGTTACCCCAGGATCCCGGGGGTATCAGGACCTCTGGTGGCAGAGCAGGTTACGCAGAGGGCTACCAACCACAGGTGAGCAGCCTGTCCCCCACAGGTGAGGCGTTCTGCTCCTGTCAAGACTTGGAGCGTCTGGAAGCCCACAGGGCAGGTGTGCCCTGTGCTATCAGGCCGCGATGAGTCGGAATGAACTCAATGGCAGTGAGCGTGGCTTGGTTTCGGCTTCCTGTGGCTCTCGTACAAGTGCGCACCTTTGTATCATTAGCTTACTTTTCGTCGTTAGAGAAGACGAGCTTGTTTTCTTTCAGGGAATCCATCAGCAGGCGTACACACCTCGGAAATTTGCGGTAGACCTGTTTTTAAAACAAACAAACAAACACATCATCGCCTCATCACTAGAGTCATTTATATCATCTCCCGCTATGATCTGCACATAGTGCCCTTCTAAATACAGTTAACTTTAAACGTTTTTGTTTTGTTTAGTTTTTTCATTTGAAAGTAATCCACATAATTTCAGGGAATTTGGAAGATGCAGCAAGAACCAAGGATGACACAAGTCAGCCATAATCACACGATCTATAGATAAACACTGTTCCCATGTTGATAGTTTTAATTCCTATTTTTGAAATACAAAGAGGAGCAAGGATATACACAATTTAAAAACTGCTTCTATAACAAACATAATTGGTTGGGGAATATTCTGATCAGTCAAAAGTTCTGGTGAAAGTATATAGTACCCAGATAATCAGCTTTATTTAATATTTATGTATTAAAGGACGTTATCAGCTGTTGAACATGAAACAACATTCCAATGACTTATAAGGCATTTTAGATCTTCCCAAAGATTATAGGACCCCAAATATCAATTATCATTCGATACATACCAAGCCTAAAGCCACACATTCCATCGCGGTGCCCCAGAGTAGAACAGTGTCGTAGGGTGGGGAGTGTGGAGGTAACTACGGGGGCTCTGCTACACCTTCCACCCTCAGAGCAGCTGGTGGATTTGAACATCTGACCTTTCAGTCAGCAACGGAGCAATTTAACCACTGTGCCACCAGGACTCCTTTAAACACACCCAAAGGCCTGTTCAATAGCACATTCCAGTGCATAGAATGCTAGATAAATCAGCTCTTACCACTGTTTGATTAACTAATTTGTTTATGCTTCCTGAAAACCCTCTTTTCAACTTCTATGAGGGGAGAAGGCCAGGAATAGGATCCTTGGGCAACAAAGAACCTTCCTCACAAACAGATTCTACCTCCCAATAGCCCAAATCTACTTCCCGATCTCTGCAGGCATCCAGCCTGTCACCCCTCATCATTTACTGTGCAGGGGTCAGCAGTCTCCCAAGTGACTCCATGCTTCTGCCCTCCTGTAACGGAGTTCCATCAGGAAACCAGAGATCGTTTTAAAATGCTGATCACATCATGGTTTACCCACTGAGTCAATTCTGACTCAAAGTGATCCTCTAGAATTTCCAAGACTGAATCTTTATAGAAGCGGACAGCCGCCCCTCTCTCCCTAAAAGCAGGTTAGTGACTTTGAACCACTGACCTTGCTATTAGCAGCCCAACACCTATCCCACAACACTACTGCCCCTCCCCCCACCAACTAAAACACACCCCTGACACCAAGTTGATTCAGCCTCACAGTGGCCCTATGGGACAAAGTTGAAATGTTCCTCAGGGTTTCCTGAGAGGACCAATTAGTAGGTTTGAACTAGCAACCTTGGCAGTTAACGGTCCAATATTTAACCTACTATGACACAAATCACCCAAAGGCACCTGAAATTAAAAGCTAAGCATTGAGGGTCCACAGAATTTGCTCCTGCCCTATCACCCACTTCACCTATCGCTGAGCATCTTCCGTTCCGCACACCATTCCTGCTGCCTTGGGAATGTGCCAGGCCTGTTCCTCCCACAGGGCCCTTGTTTTCCTGCGTTCCCCATCACTCGGCCCTTATCCTGGCAGGCTCACTGCAAGTGCCATTTCTGAAGACCTCTTCCCTACCCATCTGTCAAATCTAGTGCCCACCAGGCAGCCATTCTCAGCTGCATCCGTTGAGTCCCTTCGTGGCTGAAGCGTTTGCATTTGAAGTATGATGCTGTGGCGAAGACTACTGAAAGTCCCACGAACCGCTGAAAGGAAAACAAATCTGTCTTGGAAGAAGGACGGCGTGCATCCTTAGAGGCGAAAGGGTGGTGAGATTTCCCCTTGCCCACTTTGGACGTGTGGTCAGGAGAGACCAGTCCCCGGAGGACGTCATGCGTGGTGAGGTCGAGGGGCAGTGACAAAGAAGGCGCTCAAGGACATGGACTGACAGCGTGGCGGCCACCGTGCGCTCACGCATAGGAGCCATGGTGGGGATGCCGCAGGACCAGCAGGGTCTCCTTCGGTTGTGCCTAAGCTTGCTTTGGGTCGGAGCTGACTCGGTAGCATCTGACAAGAACAGCAACGTAATACTTGTGTACCGGGCTTCTGTCGCTACAGCCGGCATCTAAACTTCACTATGCTCTTCTTCCCTGTGGGGCCACCAACACTCAGAAACATTCGTAGACCTTTCAGGTGTTACTTTTTAGAATTGCACAAAGGGAAGAGGAGCAACGTGTTGTGGGCCCTCCCCTGTTACATGTTACACCTGAGAGAGCCGGAGCCAGAGGCATGCGCTGTCGACCTCGCCCGAGGAAGGAGACGGACAGAAGAGGTGGGCAGGGCCCAGGGAAGGCAAACGTCAATTCTTTAAGAGGAAAAGCTCACCGTAGCTATGTTCCCTGTTCATCTCCCATGATGAGCTGGAGGAACAGACCAATAACTTTCTGAATATAATGAACTTGAAAAAACAAAGCAAAACTTTCCACCTGACTTTAACTAGTAATTCATATCATGGTAGGGAATATGGTACCGTGTAGGGAATTTGGTAGAGAAATGAGCACAGCATAGAGAGGTTAAGGCCAGTACAAAGTTCTACTTCACAAGCGTGGCTTGGGCTTACTGTTTTGTTTCCAGGAACTAGGAGGAGAGCCATGCCGCCCCCACCTTGCCCCCTGGTTTCATGAATTGTGCCTTGGTCTGATGGCTAATGGATTGCAATCAGGTGCTCTTGGGAGATCCTAACACTGCCTCTCCTTCTCTGTCTTCTCTTCCTCAGGCTGAAGCATAATGGCTTATTTGCTTTTTTCTTTTCTTTGGTCTTCTGAGTCCCATCCTCCTGGAATAAGGACTCCGCGAAGGCAAATTCAGTGAGCCCGGTGGAGACATGACGACACGCAATTGTGCATTAGGCATAGAATAAAATAATATTAGGATAATCTACACAACAGATTTGATTTTTTTAAAGAGGATTTTGTGACCCAGCGCTATTTTGGTGGGAAGATTGCCTTCTCTCACTGGAGTCCTGTGTCGGCAGCCTGCTTGAATTGCATGGAGGCTGTCACTGAACAACACACAGTTGACAATTAACAGCTCTAGAAATAATGGCGTTCTCATTTTTAAAAAGGAATGATAAATAAGTCACATCTATTAAAAATTCTGAAAGGCAAAAGGGCACCATTCATTTTTCATTATTAAAAGGAAATTAAAAGATACCATATCTGAAAAGCCATTGCTAGAAGAACTTAGAATCATATAAGACTAGGTACGAACAGGAAGGTGATTGATAATCATAAATATGCAGAAACAGCTTACGCTTTGCCGTGAGGTAAAGATTAATCAGAGACTCACTTTGAACAAGGGATAATTGATCATTGCATCCCATATGTTGAGAAATGGAGCTTCCAGGACAATTGCGTCGACTGGGCATCCTTGAAAATTAAAAAAGAGATCAATAATTCCCTATTATACTTAGCCATCACCTTTAAATATCTTACATATAAACTTGTACATAAGCTACTGCCATCAAAATCCCTTGTGAAAATTATAAATAATGCTAATTCCAGGACGCTCCCCCGTATTGGAGAGCCGTGGTGATCCAATGTTTAAGGGCTCAGCTGCCAACCAGAAGGTTGGGATTCCACAAGCAGCCCTGGTAGAGTCGTGGTTCTGCGCTTGGCTGCTAAACGCAAGGTCAACCCTGTTCGAAATCACGATCAGCTCCACGGGAGAAAGGCAGGGCTTTCTACTCCTGATAAGAATTATGGTCCCAGAAACCTGCAGGAGCAGTGCCACGCTGTCCTAGGTAGTCCGCTGTGGGTCGGAGTCAACTCAGTGGCAGCGGGGTTGGTGTTTCTGGGTGGTTCCACGAACAGCAGCCGTGGTGAAGTTGGTGCCGGACTGGGACGCGGGCAGCGTTTCCTTCTGTTGTACTGAAGGTTGCTATGAGTTGGAACCAACTCAATGTCACCGAAACAACTGTCTCCGCAGGAGAAAGACCTAGCAAACTGCCCCGTAGAGATCACAGCCGAGGAGACCCACGGGGCAGCTCTCCTCTGCCCCACGGGGTCTGGTGTGTCCCTCAACTCAGAGGCAAACACCACCATCACCACCCCCACCAGACTGCATCCGGGCTCACGGAAGACATATCTTTCAACCCGCTCTCCCCTCACTCCCAAGAGATCTCTGTGCAGATACTAGCT